GTTTTTTTCTTTTAACTAAAATTACGACTTTATATTATAGATTTATATTTAGTGTGTTGAAACAGTCATAAAAAGAAAACCATAATCTCATGTTAACTTAGGTTGAATCAGGGGCAGTTCAGTTTTACATTCAGTCACAGAGTAATTAGACTTATCAATGTGTACACATTTTAAATGGAGGCTGTTATCCTATATACTCATGTTTATATACATGCATACATACATATATATATAAAGTCACAGGTCAGAGGTCACGTGCCACCTGTAAAGGTAATCCCTGTGAGGATTAAAGACACAGGACACAGGCCGGCATAAAGGAGCAGTACGAATTAAACCAGGACTGTGGATCATGCAAAGCTGTTCTGTTGGAGGAAAGCAGAACAGCTTAACCTGAAGTTAAGCTTTCAGACCTGAAGCCATCTTTCACGTGTCATTGCTGTTGATGTTGTGTGGCAGAGCAGCAGCCTGACTGTGTACATCCTTATCTTCTTCGTATACACTCTCTATGTTGTGTTCGTGCGGGTGATGCAGAGTTCCCTCCTTCGCTGCTCCCAGTATCTTGAACCCCCCAGGATTCAGAACCACAACACTCAGCGTAAACAGGTGGCTCATCAGATTCCCATCAGCAACTCAGAGGGAGGCGACTGAACACATGAAACCACAGCTGAAGATGTTTTGCGATGCTGAGCGGAGATAGGAACCTCAGGCGTGTGGTTTGGTGGGGGCGGGGGAGAGCTTCTTCTCCCAGATAAGGTGCAGCAGAGAGAGCGCAGCACCGTCCTAAGACTGAAGACTTGTGCTCTTTCAGCACGGCAGCTTCCTTAAATCTTCACCTCCATGAACGTTGTGGAGGTGCAGGCAGCTGCTACTGCCCCGCCTTGTGTCGCTGCAGTCGAAGGATCGCACCATCTCCTTCTTCCTTCCATGATTTTCTCCAGGTTGCCTCCTAAAAGCCGAAAACTGCACGTTAACCACAGCTGCCACCCACAGATGCATTCGAAAGCTCGACGCCCCACCAACACCTCACCTTCGTACCCACCGGGTGTTATCTCCACCCACCACTGCCTCATGATACACAAATACAAATAGCATATAAACACAGTCAGTGCAACAAACTAGGAGCCAAATATCTGCTGAGAACCCAACACCAGTGGCCACAGCTAGCCTCATCTGAAGCTAGCCCATTTTTAGCCTAGCTGTTTATTATATATAATAAACAGCTAGGCTAAAAATGGGCTAGCTTGTACAAGTGCTGTATTCATGTTGTACAAGTGCTGTATTCATGTTGTATACAACATGAATACAGCACTTGTACACGTTAACTTAATGACAAAAAAGATGAAATAACATTAGCGTAACAGCTAACTATCTTTGCTAAATGAGCAGGTTCTCCCTCCCGTGGAGATTTTTAGAAGGCAGATGAATCCAGAAATCTTTAAAGGAAGTTAAAGTCTGATTTCTTCTCCTACATGTTCAGTTTTTAACATGTTCAGTGTTTGCTCTAATCATTGGTTGCGTCCGTTGAGCTGCACATTTCTCTGAGTCATACTCTCGTGTGCTCTGTCACCTCCTACCATACTTTCCCCCCTTAATAAATTCAAGTCAAACAGGGTAAAACCCCTGTTGGAGCCACCTTCCACCCAGCCTCACCCAGTCAGTAGTTCCCTGGTCTTGATTTAAGTTGTGTTTCCTTTTCATTGTGATAGTTTCTATCATCTTCTGCATAAAGTTGCATAGCTTGTGGCTTTGAGGTAATTTTTGCTTGTTGACAGGAGAGTAGGCACCCAAACAAAGGTGTCATGTTAACTGCAGGTCACCCCGTTGACAGCCATCCTCTCCTTCTCCATCACTGGCAGATGTGAGCGGATGTCAGAAACGTGGCTCACAGTTTTAACAAGCCCTGATAAAATAAAGTTTGTTGTTGTGGGATGGAAAAACGATCAAAGATTTTGATCAAATCAAACTACCAACAAACTGTATTTTTTCCTGTTGGGGCCACGGTCGCACCGCTGCCCTGGGAGGTTGTTTGAAGCTATGACAGTTTTCATGGCTCAGCGATGGAACAGCTGTGATTTTCCGTCTAGCGCACTTTTATTTTGTTGTTAAATACGCAAAACTGTGAAATACACTGAGTCTGAAGTGTTAGTTCAGTCAGAGTTGAGATCCATCATACATACATACATACATTTTCCCCGTTTGTATTTTGCTGCAATCAACATAATTTTCAAACTAAACTTATTTCAGTTTGAATGTTGTTTCATGCCGGCACCAGGATACTCGAGTCGTGAAAAAAGAGGAAACTGTTCTATCACAACACAAACCGTGACCTTGTTTCTGTTGTTGAGTGACTCGTTTAGGTGCCAAAACTTAACCAGGCAACGAACACAAGTGCAAGATTACATTTAGTGTTTCTCCGGCTCAGGGTTGAAGAGGTTTGTGAAGCGTCTTCTTTTTGCAGTTTGTGTCTTCGTTGCACAGTTGTCATCTCCCACCATGCCTGCAACTTTGTAACTTCAAACTGCAGATTTGCTGGTTGTTGTGGAGGTTAAACCCCGCTGGTGTTCCTTGAGCCTCTCTGAATAGTCATTAGTGTTGGATTTTTCCAGTTTTGTGCATTTTGAACCTCATGAGTTGTGCTGCTGAAGCCTTTGGAGGCTTAAAATAAACCAGTGCTGCTTCAAACTTTAACCCCTTTTCTCCTCCGACTGCGGTGTTTGTGCAGTTCCTGCTGCCTTCATACAGTCGACTCTACAGATTAGAGGTTGAGGCAGCAGGTATTGCACCACAGTTTTCCCAGCATGCCCTGTGTTGCGACCTGAAACATGCAGTGCGTCTGGCCCTGTAGCTGAGAAGGAAACAGAGCAAACCACGCTGAGGCTGCGGGCTGCAGAGAAACTAAATACTCATTTAGGGAAACAGAGAAGTTGTTGGTGTGAGGGGAATGAAGCAAAACTGCAAACTGACAGAAATCTGAACTCCTGACGTCAAAGCTGATGTCTTTATTTTTTCTGTGAATAATGGCGCATTAACATATGACCAAGTTCGGGGTGATCGGCGACCTTGCCTCTGAATTTGAAGATCGTAGTAAACTAAAACAGATGCTGGCCTCATTTGAAAACAAACCAGAGTAGACAGGAAGTGGTTTGTAGGTTACTGGTTAGACTTTCAGCTCCATGGTTGCTGTTTGGCAAAGGTTCGCTCAGAGCTGCACAAACTTCACCCTCTCACAAGCCTGGAAAACAACAGGTCTGCGCACAAAGATGGCTAGAAAAGATAAAAAGTGTACAGTCTGGTCACAGCAGAGAGAACATTTCCCACAGACTGATAACTGCTATTTTTACCTTCTGGCTCTTTACATCCGGCGCGTTGAGTTTATTTATACAGCAGATACGTTTATAGTCTGTGCAGCTTTTGTCAGCTCTAACTCTGGACGAATAACAAACCCCCAAAACAAACCTTAGACACAAAGCTCCACATTACCTCACCACTATCGAAAGAATTCCTGTTTTCACTCTTTTCCGCCTCCCAGGACACTCAAGTTTGACACTCTGAACATTTGATTTGAAGTCAATATACAACATAACACAAACACTTGTGCCATACCGTGTCCATCCCCCTGCCCGTGGCACACCTGTATAGAGTTGCTGATGTTTTGGTTTAAAGGTGAACACGAACTCTAAAAGCAGCAAAAATGCATCCATCTCTGCTGTTATTCTCTTGCCAACACAACAAAAACAGTGACCTGGAATCATCACCGAGCTGCTGCAGCATCTGTCTGACCCCAGATCAGCTCCATCGCTCATTAAATCACGAGTGAGTCTGAATGTTCAAGACTTAACTTCAGCGTTGCTCATTTCTTCATGTTTTTGGGGCAAGTCTCAGCCCTCTGCGGAGGAATGTTTTATGTCTGTCAGTCAGTGAGATCACACATGAACAGGTAGGATGGATTTCATGAACCTGGCCACAGTTCTGGTTGTATGACTTTATGGGGACTTTCTGAGGGCAGGCTTGTAGGTGGGGAGTGATTTGGGAGGGGGGGGGTCTGCTCAGGGGGTCTTTAGATGACTAAAGTTGGCATGTGTGAATGTAACCAGAGGGAAACGTGGTTTAAATATATGCTAAGAATGTATTAATAACTTTCACCATAATGAGCTTGTGAAGAAGAAGCTGTTTTCCTCCATCAGCGACTTTGAGCACTTTTTTCACACCTTCATCTCAGGCGGTGTGGTCGCTGCTCGGGTGTCAGTCTGTGGTTACTTTCAGGACTGCAGCTGGTCCAAACACTGCTTCTTCACCTCCAGTCACTTTTAGAGTTCTCTGCTTGTTTTCCAGTCATTACTCTGCACCCGCTCATTGCTCTGCTCTCTGAACTTGCACGCTCCCACAGATGTCAGAGGTCTGATGGGGCGACGGTTCTGATCGAGGTCCAGGTTAAAACATCAGCTTGTCACTGTTTCTGTTCTTAAACTGTGGAGGGACCGAGTCTCTACAGATCAGCATACTTTTACACCAGACTGAGCACTGATTGTTTATTGTATTTTTTTCCTTGTGTTTTTTTTTATAATGTTTTTTTAAGCTTTTTATTATGCTATTAGTTGTTTGATGTTGTCTGGTTTGTTTGTTGTTTTTTGTGATGTTTGTTGATTGATCTAAGATGATTTTCTCCTGTCCGAGACAATAAAGTAAAGGAATATTTAATTGATCTGCGGCTTTTTATTTTACATTTGCTCAAAAATAAATGAACTCAAACATGTTTGCTCTAAATGTGTCTATGTGGGCTTAATTTCATTTGGTGTCAAAAAATGTTGTTGTGTCCATGTGACTGAGCCCTGAACGTTCCTAATAATCTGTCATCTGAGAGTTAACTGTCCGTCAGCCTTCTAACCACACAGACCCCGCAGTCTCCAAATCAAGGATGTTTTCTGATTTACAGAGCGTCCTGTAAGACCTCAACTACCCAGCATCGCCCCCGCCTCCTCCTCCTCCTCCTTCCTCTGCAGACTAGCCACTCCCCCTTCCTCTCTCCCAGCCTGCTGACGAGAAAAGCTCTCAGCTGGTGTGACGGCGGGTTATGAAAGAGCAGAGCGGCAGGTGAGCGTGTGTGCAGCTGGACGGAGACTCGGTGATGAGATGCAGTTCGGCTGGAGGATCGCCGTGATGCTGCTGCTGCTGCCAGCTGTGTGTGAGGCTCAGAGCGGAGATGGAGACCCCGACATGGGTAAGAAGATTTTAAAACATGCGGTTAGCACAGGAATGTTGGGGGTGATTCTTTTACATTAGTATCTTTCACGGAAATACAAATACAGAAAAATATTAGAAAATGTAAAGTTTGGATCTTTGATGGGGGCTATATTTGCAGCACATATTATCTGAGATGAATTATTGCACCTGTGGAGCACTTACCTGAGCATAATGGCTCAAAATTAAAAAGCTTCATGAAGAGACTCTTTAAAATCCTTAAATGACTTTGCGCTCAAGTGTGGTTACCGTTAATTTCGAAGAAGCGTGAACAATTTGTATCTCTTAAGACAAAAACAAATGAATAATCATCATTTCAGGAGTTTTATGAGACACTCACTTCAGCTTTGGGGCACAAATTCGGAAGAAAAATGAGACACCTGTTAAGTCCCATCATCAGCTTTCGATATCCGGGATTGATTTAATAATCAGCCTTCTCGTGCACATCGGCTCGTAGGCACAAACAAAATCAGAAGCAGTGATGTTATCAGCGTGACAGTTGGGAGTAAACACAGCTTCGTCTCTGTGCTCGTGGGGCTCCGCTGATGCTCTGCTTTTTGTTCCATCAGAGCTTCACTCGGTTCAGTTTCTGCACCGCGGTGGACTGGATCAGGTGCTTAAAATTCCTCCTGTGGTTAAATCTTCACACATAGCTGACAGTTTAGAGGTCCTGCTTAGTGCATGCAGTTTTAGTGTACTGGCAACACCCTACGTAAGCCATCCATTTAGCAGTAAAAACACATAAAAGCAGTTTATAATAAGCAATGGTATGAATAAAGTTAAATGCACGTATTTAAGGTGAGCAAGGACACTGTTCGGCGTTCAGGCAGTTAATGCGAAGTAAAGCAGTGACTATAAATAACTGCAAAGTCAGGAAGAAAAGTTGTGGTTATTTTAACAACTTGTATAACACGATTTAATCATGCTGGCAGCTTCAAAGTGTTGTGGTCTTGAACATGGTTGTAAGGTCAACATGTCAAGTCACTGGTAAGATTTTGTCATGCAGCATATTGTGTTTGGTAAACAGAGACATCTACAGCCTCAGCGTTTTCTCATTTCTCGCGACCCAGTTTAACGTCCTGGGGTTGCCAGAGTGAGGGCGGAGGGTCTGGAGCCTAACCTAGCTTTCATAGTGTGAGAGGCTGCTACAGGTAGTCAGTGCTAACCTCTGCACCCCCCCCCCCCTGCTTAAACGCTTCCAATTAGTCTTATAATTAAAAACTGAAGAAAATTCGGTATTCATTTTTATGCAGATGATGCACAGTCAGTTTTCCTTCAACGAGTTACTACAGAATAATTATTTTTGTGTTGCATCCCTAAAATCAAAGAGAATTAGTTATTTATACTGTGACAAATTGGAATAAAAATGTTCTCAAAGCACTTCATACTGTAGTGACAGGCAGCTGCAGAGGCAGGGTTTCAAAATTATGCTGATGATGCAGTTATCTGCGTATCAGGAGGGACTCCAGTGTGCTGTTGAGTTATGTGATGGTTTCTCAGTAACCTCTGATTAGAAAGAAATCAATTCAGCAATTTGGATATAGTCTATCACACCTTTCATGCTATGTCACTGTTTGGGTTAAACAAGTCAGCAATAAATAGTGTTCATGATGTAAGATATTGGACCAGAAGATAATAAACTGGCATCACCATGAAATTCAAAGTTTTACATTTTCATAAATTAAATCACCCACAATCTACTTAACCACAGGAACAGTCAGTGGGGCTTTGAACAAGCAAAACAACATTTATTTAGTCTTTTTTCACTCTTAAAGATCTGAAACACTCAGAGATAAAAGCATAAACTGGTGTTAATGATAAAGACAAATATTTGATCAGTGACATGGAAGTTTTTTGATGTAGTTTGCATTTATTTCACTGCTGTTTCCCTTCCTGATTGTTTTCATGTCTGTGTTGGCATGTTGTATGTAAAGCTTAATCTTAAATCAGCTTAAGGCACATGGGCTGCAAATCAGCCGTGGTTAGACATCTTTGGTAGTATATGATATATATACTGCTAACTGACAGAAAAAAAAGGTTAAAAGACAAGAGTGTAACACTCAAAAAGTGGAGAAATGTCTGAAAGTGTTTTTCATCTCAGAGCCCAGAATCAGCTGCACGTCTCACATCATGATGAAAAGATGCAATTTGACCTGCAAGCTGCTTGAAGGCAGAAATGATGACGAGGATGATGAAGAGGGTGGAGGTGATGGAGGCGACAGCATTGAGAGGATGACCCTGTGGTAAACCTTTGATATAACGTTCAGTACTGTGCTGCATGTCAGAGGAAATTCAGATACTGATGCAGGTCACTGCTCTTCTGTTCAGCTACCTTCATTATGACAGCAACGTAATGGTGAAGTGCATGGAGACATACAGTGATACATTCAGCTCCCCAGACCTGAAGCCCTTGTCAGAACTCAGGCTGACCGTCCACTTAAAGAGTGGCGGCAGGATTTCACAAAAACTCTACCTGAAGAACATAGGTAAACATGTCATCTGGTTACATTTTCAGACTTTACAAATGCTTCTAAACATCAGTAGCTGCCTGGTGAAGAGTCACCACTGCACTGCCTGTCAGACTTCATGTTCATTTCCTTTTTTCCAGTATAGAAATGTAAAAGTCTTGAATTCTGCATGCCCAAAGCTGCTATCATTGCTGTCCTCTCTCTGTGTGCTGTCCCTGCAGTTAAACCAATGAGTCCTCAGGTGTTTAACATCACCTTCCAAGAAGAGTCTAACGAGGCTAAGATTTGGATTCAGATCCCGTACCAAAAAGACTACCTGAAAGTGAAGAACCAGGAATTCCAGTTTCAGATCGAGACAGCTGGGGAAATCATGGTACAGTGATCTAAAAAGTATAGCTCAGAAGTGCAATCTCACATTCTACTTCAAGACTTTCAGGTTTTCGCTATAACATCAGACATAGTTTCTCCTAGAGAGACTCTTGTATTGTGGGTTGTTTTTTATGTTAAACAATCTAATGAGTAAATCTTTCAGTGTTTGGTTTGCCCAGTAGTAGTCTCTGAAGTTCCTGTGATATTAACTGTAATGCAGACAAATCTGAGAGCATCGTCTTACCTTTTCTCTGGTAGAAAGCACCTGGTTCCAATCGAGGTCAAATTGATTTCCACAGTTTCTCACACAATGATAAATTTTAAGCACTCTCCTGATAATTTAATGGTTCCAATCACCAGTTTTAAACCTTATTGTGTAAAATATGTTGTTTCTTTTGAAAACTGTAGTCCCAGTAGAGTCAAAAGGGACCAGCGCTACATTACAGGTCATCTGGAATTTAATACTTGTCCTATCTTGTATGAGGACGTGCTTCAACATAAAAAGACTGTTTTACATCAACAATATCATACAATGTTTTGCAATGACTGAAATGTTTTCTTTTCTCTCTGACCACAGATTCAGAACACCTCATCCCAGGACTTCATAAATATCAACATGGGATACCTTAAAAAAGGCTCAAAGTATTATGTCAAAGTGCGGGCGCGAACACTCCCAAAGATTTTTCAGGGCACGTGGAGTGAGTGGAGTGAAACATTCACTTTCCTTACCCCTGGTAAGAACAATAGTCCTGCTGCACAACCTTTTTTAAACACTGATATCAGTAATGATCTGTGTTGTTCTCCTTCCTGAAGAAAACCTCCAGAAGCAGACCAGTGGAGTACAGGTGGAACCGTACCAAGTCAGAGTGTGTCTGGTCTCTCTGCTGATGGTGACCTTTAGTATCATCATCATCATCATCATCCTCTGGAAAAACAAGTATGACGTCTACTTTCTGTCAGAAAAATCTGAGTAGTGAGTTCCCTTCACTAAGTTTCTTTCCTTTTTATTCCACAGGATATTTACCTACATGTGGCCAAGCATCCCGCATCCTAAACAGACTCTGGTGCAGATCTGCAAGCCAAACAATGTGAGTTATTCTACTGTCAGATAAAAAATAAAAACACTGCAAAGCAACATCAGGTCACGTGTGAGCGACAGGACCAGTTGTAGAAATCACAACACAAAATCTTACTTGGATGAGATTTCAGGTGGTGGTACCCCTACCAAAGAGCAATTGTAGTCAAAACTGTGGCATCAACATAGTAACATAAACATTCATATTGATGATACTTTTTTATTGACCAACTTGCTGAGCTATGCTGAGCACATCAGCTTATAAACACAGTTTGTAAAACCTCAAGCATTGCTTTGTTTGATGTGACACCAGGATTTTACAGCACAGTGAGCGGTGCATCGGTTGTACTGATTAATGCTGACATTGCACTCTTGACCTCTCTGGTACAAAAGATATCAAACAGGCACTACAGGTTCATGAAACTCATTTTGACATGAATCTTTGGAACTTTCAGTTTGACTAATAAGAAACACAAACATTAGCTGTCTGCAGCAGACATTTAACTAACTGTGTGAAATTCTGGCGTGCCTCTGCACAGCCCGTTGGTTTTTGCTGTTTAACATTGTGATGAGGTTTTTTTAGAGGTACTAGGGCAGTTAGAACCAGTGTATTTACTTGTAATTGTTAAGACAAAGAACATGACAAAGGAGCTTTTGATTGGCTGTAGACAAATATGATGTCATTCTGGTTTTGCAGCCTCTGTTGCTGACCTTCAGACCTGAGGTGCTCAGTGATCTCAAAGTCTACCCCGTGGAGACGACAGCGCGTGAGGAAACAGAGCCTGCGATCAGTCCTGCATCTGCTGCTGCTTACAGCACTCAGTCGAGTGAACCCTGCTCCACCCAGAGCTTAGATTGCAGGAGTACTGCCAGCGCCAGCACCGAGGAGCTGGAGCTCTCTGCCTTGTTGAGCAGGAGCTCGTCTGAAGCCGAGGACAGCCTGTCGAGCTGCAGTCCTTCCCCCATCGACATCCTCCAGCTTGGGGAAAGACCCGAGCAGCCTGAGCAACAATTTGAAGTCAATGACTTTGAGGTGTTTGGAGCAAATCGACAGGAGGAGGCTTACGTCACCATGTCCAGTTTCTATAAGATCAAGTAGGTGATGCAGTGGTGAGCAAACAGGATCAGAGACTGTACTTATCAAACTTCAGGATGCTCTAAAGCAAAGGGCATCCAACTTCACGAGGTCTTCAGAGCAAAGTGAAAGAACAGAAAGACAAACATGCTGCCTTTTTGTCCGGATGTGCCTATCTCCCACTTACATTTCACCTGGATTTCAATGATGCTGGACCTCTGTCCAGAGAACGAGACATCAGGCATTCATTACCAAAAGAAAAATCACTGAATGGAGTGCTCAAGTTTGGTTCACTTTACAGAAATCAAGCTTTTACTGGTGAAGTATCTCATCTGGATTCCCATTTGCGCATAAACCTAAGAGGATAAATTCTTTTAGGTTTTGTCATCTATTGACATTTATTTTAACTCCATCTTGGAGTTCTGTAGCAAATATACACAAGAATTACTCAGTTGATGTATTTACTGATGATAATTATATATTGATGTAATTACTCTATGACGTTTGGTTCAGATGTTCCCATCAGGATGAACAGTGATAACATTTAGTAATTTCACACCATCCTCAGTTCATTATGTTACACATCCATCACTTTGTCTCTGCTACACTCTGAGTTTAGCAGAGTTTTTTAAGTGTAGCAGCCTCAACAAGCTGCTAACATGAGTGGAGACTCTTATTCCCCATTGCCACTAACATGGAATGGGTTCTTTTTCTGATTCATGAACATATTTTTGCATCTTTTGCACCAGCATTTTAACCCAAAATAAATCGTCTCATCTTTGTATAGAAGCTGGCTCCCAGCTGGGACTTAAGAAAAAGGTTTTGAAGTGCTAGCCGTGATAGGATTAGTGGGAGTGTCACATTTTACAGGCTGTAAAGCGAGAATAGACAGCATGACAACATTTGGTATTTGGTGACAGGGTGAAGAAAAATTCCCTTTTCATAAGAGAAAGCCTCAGCAGAATCAGGCTCATGTGCCGCCATCTGCTGTGACTGGTTGGGGGTGAGGGGAGTCTCCATCATTGACTTGTTAAAAAAAAAAAAATCACCAACGTGTAAATTTGTCCTCACTTTGGTGTTTCTCTCGCTTCCTGTGTCATTTTCTTGGACAGTCAGCCATCAACAGGCTTGCTAAGAAAAAAATAACAGAAAAAGGAAAAAAACGTTTTTATGCAGTGGAGCTGCTCACAGCTCATATTCAAAGACAGCAAAACACAGCCTGTGGTTAATTTTTGTGACTCATAAACCAAAAAACATTTGAGACAACTAAAGTAACGATGTGTTACACGTTATTCTAACAATATGAACTTAGCTCTGCTCCTTTATAATCGGGTTTATTTTAATATGTTTAGTCACTGCTGTTATTTTTAAAGTGATAAATTGGCTGTTATTCTTGTGCTTGTACCAGCAGATTTTTTTTTAGCTTTAATCTTTCACTTGAACCCAAAATGTAGCTTTGAGTAGAGCAGGCTGTTGACCTGCAGCTCTGAAATACAGGATTTATTTTGTTGCTTTGAGGCCAAGTGTGTTTTCATGTTTTTACTGACACACCTCCACATGTAGTCATTTGTCATTGGAGGAATCATATATACCTGTGTTTTTGCCTGTTTTACTACATAGCATAGAATAGTGGTTTTCAGATAAAACTACCTTCCAGGCATCCCAGCGTCTAAGTGATCACTTTATCTTTTAACTCAGCATTATGGATCGTGTTGGCTGCCTGGGAGGTGGTGAACAGCTTCAGTTGACAGATGAGAGAGAAATGAAAGTTTCTTTGATAGTTAAGAGTGTGGCTCATCTAAAGAAACCCTTTAAACCCCCAAAGTACATCTATATTGACCCAGTGTACTACCTAAATGACCAAAACACCCAACTGAATGAGCCTTCAAAGCACCTAACTGGTTGCTAGATCAAAGCTCCTACTTTATCCATCTAAAGGGCCACAAGAAATAACAAAAATATTACTAGAAGCTCATACTGGAGGCCATTAAAACCACATAAAACATCCCTGATACCTCCTGTGTAACCACGATCCCTGTAAATGAACCTGAGTACGTTCTCAGTGTCCAAAAGGAGCCACTACAATTAAACAAGGAACCACAAAGAGACCTATACAGAAGAACCACCTAAACAATCTGTGGAACATTGTTAATGGTTAAAAGGGCCTGTAAGATCTCTACAACCTAAACCTTGAGTCCTTGAGTCACATGACCACAACCTGAAGAACTCTTGGGACCTGCTTTTTATTCTCCAGGTCTTGTAGAAATGAATTTAATTAAACTTCAGCTTATGGATTTACTCATAAATTCTCAGTGCTCCATCTCACAAAAACTAGTCTGGTATAAGAAGACCTGTTTATCAGATTTTTCAATTTTTCACCATCTGTATTTTATTTTTTTCTCATTCCTCAACCAAAAAAAATCGAACAACACCAGTGAGGTCATTTAAAGCTGCTTGTATCTAAACTCATCTGCACTTAAACTGTTTGGGAACTGAAACTCATGCTGCAGCGTTCACCATGCATATCAAACAGGATCACATGTAAAGCCTCCTAAAGCTCATCTGAATCATAGTACAGCACTCAAAGCTTTGGGGTTACTTAGAAATTACCATGTTTTTGAAGGAAAAGCTAATTTGCTTTAATTTACAGTTAAGTGAACATAAATATTAACTAACTGAATCATTAAACAGATTTTTTTTATTGGAATATCTACATCAGAGGCAAGCAGTGCAGGTTTATCACATTAAAAGGCTGACTCATTGTTGGAAAAACCGTTCAATCATGTGGGTAAAGGTGCTGTACTACTTAAGTAGTTACACACTGGCAATCTCCTCACATCCTCAGGCCACTAGGGAAAAATGTGCATATTCACTTGTTTGGCAAGTGGTTGCTAGCTGTTGCTGGGTGAAATCAATTGCATGGTTGCTTTGGTCACTAGCAGGCTGCCACGGTCGCCTGCAGGTTGCATGGAAGACACCGACTTGTCTGCAAACACTCTCCAACTGCTTTCTGAGTGGAAATGAAACTGAAGTCTGACACAAACTGCAAACGGAGAATGTTTGAATTCAGAGTAAAAGTTGTGCCTCAATCAACATGATTCAAAAGGCAAAACTTTTATTTTGAAGGGAAACTTGCGCTGTTTCCAGTTTGTGTCTGACTTTTTTACAGTTTTACTTCTACTCGGCAAGTAGTTAGTAAATGTTTGCAGAGAAGTCGGCACCCTCCATGGAAACTGAGGCGGCCGCGATAATCTGCAAGTGACCAAAGCCACAGTCACAATCAGCAACCTTCAGCAGCTGCTCACCAACCGGGCAGGAAATACACATTTTTCCCGAGCAGCCGCTGGTTGACAGTGAGTAACTCACTGGTCTCTAGGCCTGTATGACTGTGGCTTTAGTTTCACAGCAACTGCCAGCAACCAACAGCAACCACTTGCCAGCCGGCTGGGGAATACACCTTTTTCTCCTAGCAACCTGTGGTTGCTGGGGGCCTGCCACCAACCGGTCTTAGCAGTGCTCTCTTGAGAGTAATACACACCAGTGTTATTTGGTTTGTTTTCATCACCTTCATTTCTTAGAACACGAACACAGCCTGAACACATTCTTCTTTTGGCCATTTTAAAGCTTCACATCTACACAGAAATGCTCCAGAGATGCAACTAGTCAGATTTAGTACATCTATAATCAGTATAGCAGTTTTTAGGTGTGCCATCGTGGTGGGAAAAGGTTTTTCTAATAATCAATAAGCCTCTTAATATTATAAAACTCCTTTAGAGAACATCATGTGCCATTAGAACACAGATGATTGCTTAAAATGGGCCTCTTTACACATACATAGATATTCCATAAAAAGAATGATTAGTTAGATAGAAATTACACAATTAATCAGTATTTCTACTTTAACATCCATTTATGACTCTCTCAATCAGCTTTTCTTCCTGAAAACATGACGTTTCAAAGTGATCTCCAACTTCTGAGCAGTCGTGTACGTCATGTCCACGCAAGCTCAGCTGTCTGTAGGCAGGTTGTGGATGCGTTGCTGTAGCAACTGTTTCTGTTTGTAGTCATGGAGATGCTAAACCCAATGCTGCTGCTTCAATATCTGACACAACCGACCTCACAATGGCTGAAACAAAAACAGGAATGTACGCTTTATACTCAGAAACAAGAAGTCTGTAATCTGTACTAAATACAACGTACATACTTTATGGAAATGTCTAAATGTACTCGTGTTGATGTAACGTGGAATTGTTTTTATTTAATCACAATGCATATCAGTGTATATAGTAATAAAGTGGAAAATGAAATCCTGCTGTTTCACTGTGATGTAATTAGTAATGAAAAATGTGCACACGATACAAAAATGATAAAAGTCGGACCAATCTGTGTAACTGCATTTATTTAGAATATGGCTTCTAACAGAAAATATGACAGAATTCAGGCTGCAGAATTGATCAGACACATCATTATGATCATTTAAAACAAATTCTGTTTGTCGGAAATCCATGAGGTGCTTAGATTCTGGAGTTTTAATGTGATTCAGAGCTTCCAAGCGTTTTTCATCATTAGTATAAAGTAGACGTCGCTGTCGATGGAGGCGCTGACGCCACTGTAATAGTTCATAAACTCATCATGGGTCACCTGTCAAGTACAAGAAACCTGCTTTAATGACAGCTTAAATACAGAGATCAAACACGACAGTACTTCAAAGTGTTACTATGAAGACAAACAGCAGAGATGAAGAGGAAGGGGCCAACTTCATCAGTTAGATCAGAATGAAACAGCGGCCCGTTTCTTCTTGTGTGGCTTTAAAGTTTAAAAGGAAAATTTAAAGAAATGAGGTGCCTCACCTGATTGACATCCATCCATCCACTCTTTCATCCAATCATCCATACAGGATAATCAATTTTTTTTCTTGTTTAAAATTGGAAAAACAAAGTAACAATATAGGCCCATTTTGATTTGCACAAAAAATTATTGAAAAAACTCAAATCAAAATAAGGCAATAATCTCGAGGTGTTCTGTGTACAAAAAAATTAAATGAAGCAAAGTATGGGGGTAACATTTCTAATAGTTATGAAATTCCCTAAAAACTGTAAACACATTAAATTGCAGTCAGATGGCTCTTTAGACAGAGGTGATCTGAATCTAACTGTAAATCTTTAAAGACAGGTTTATGGATAGATATGAAGTCATTTATGAAATAAAGAGAGTAATGTGATGAAATCAGATATGTTTGGGATGGATGGGCTTTGCACTATGAATTCTATAGTGAAAGTGTCGTTTTGTCTCCCTGTGCAGGCCAGGGCCTATTATATGCCACAGCCTAAAGGCAGCAGAGTTGCAGAGGCTGGAGTGACCACTGGCTACATGCTTGCAGGGTGGTGGGTCTCAGAGGACAACTTCTAACCCTGTTAAAGGCAACATGTGTAGTGCAACTGGCATTGTGGCATAGCCGGCTCTGGCCTTGGAACTGTGTGTTTTTATTTGATCCATAAATGGGACACTGGACTGTTTTATCCTTTCTCTTGATTTTTTGTCAATAAATTATCTTTTAGAATTTTATTGACTGTCATCATTTTGCCCACGACTGAGACGGTTGGTCAGACCTAGAATCTTTCTTTGGGTGTGTTACAGTCATGTTACTTGGGGTATACTTACTTAACTTTTAAGAGATGTTTAATTTTTCATCACCTTATTTTCCACATTTTCCAACCTGTGCATGATATTATGGTGTCAGATGCTCATGCTAAAGTTTAAAATATAAAGGTAATGATATGTAAAAAATACTCCCTATGAGCCAAAATATCTTTGTAAATATTACAGCTCATGAGCACTGGGTGCTGAACCAAGGCAGACTTCACAAATCATCCAATCAGAAGAAAGCTGATTTAAAAGTAGGAGGAGATAAAGCAGCTTGTTTCAAACAGAGGTTGAACTGCAGGCTGCATTAAGGCGCAGTATAAGATAAAGAAGGATGATTTTGAAGTGTGAATCATGCAGAGCTGCTCTGGGAGAGTGCAAGAATAAAAATGTGGAGCAGGAAATGATGAGAACTGATCACCTCTGCGCGAGTTTCATATCTGCATGGAAACAGCGCGGCTGTGTTTGTTTACACAGCAGTTTGTTTACATCCAGAAAGTGAAAGAGAAAAAGCTGATTGGTTAGGTTGAACCACAGTAAGAAGCCAGAGTGAAGCAGCCTGCAGTGCGTGGACTAACACGCTAAATGAACGATTTCACTGCTGAGTTTGTATGTTGTCTGGTTCTTTGAGTCCATCTCATTGGAACACATTTACAAGTAAAACCATACAACATACCCTGCAGAACATTACCAGATTCCCCAGGGAGGAAATTTAATCACAGCATTTCTACAATGGAAAACACCTCAAAATGGAAATACTCGCCGCCCTCCTACCACCACCCAAAAACCACGGAGCTCAATTACCAGAACGCCGCTAATTCAGAGTTTCCAGGCATTTCTCATCATCACAATAAAGTAGACGTCTGTATCGATGGAGGCGCTCACACCAGCGTAATAATTCATAAACTCCTCCTGGGTCACCTTCAGAGAGGAGCATACAGTTTCATCAACGCTGAGGAAAGTTTCACACCTAAAGTCTGTTTCAGTGCAGGAGCTACTGGTCTGTGGGCCACAGTCACTGACCTCCACCCACACAGACACCGCCTGTCTGGCATTCCTGTCAGAAGCTCGTTACCTTTCCATCTTTGTCATACGGAGAGTCAAAGCTATCCAGGAATGTCCTGAAGACCTGGTCCTCCGTCCACTCTCCGTTCTGGTACTTGGGGTGGTACTTGGCGTTGTAAACACCCCGCAGGTCTTCGATGGTGATCACCCCGTCACCCGTTTTATCCAGCTTCCGAAACGCCTGCATGACCACCTCCTTCCGGGCCTTGGACATTGGCGGCTGCAGTTAACAGAAGGGGAAGTTAAAGGAGGGAAGATTCAGTTCAGTCCAGCTTATGACACATCATTCAGTAGTTTGAAACAGACGATCGCTGACTGCAGATTAAAACATCCATGCCATTTAGGGGCCTTCACAACTATTTTTTATTCAGAGCAGCTGTTTACCTTGAAACACGAGCACTGAAACCACAGTTGTTAAAAACGTATGGAAGGAGGGCTTTGGGGGTATTTTTTAGTTCTGGCTGACTGATAGGAGGCGATCTCATCTCATGCTCTCATCGTTGGTCTGATTTACCCTGAGAGTGGCGAGGAACTCGTCGAAGTCGATGGTCCCGCTGCCGTCACGGTCAAATTGCTGAAACAGAGCTGTGGCCTCGTCCTTCTCCATCAAGACCCCGTAGTCGTTTAACCCCTTCATGAACTCCTTGAAGTCCAGCAAGCGGTTGTTGTTGTCGTCCATCACTCTGAAGGTCCTGACAAACAAAATCAGCGAACCAGACAGCAGCATTTCAGTTTTATACCATTGAAAAGTAAAACTTTATTTAAAAAAAAACTATAACTGTCTATATGTCAGTTAAAGTAAATAAGTAGTAAACTGTATTTTTAGTCCTGAGTCCCCTGATATTTGAGCTGCTTCAGAACAGACAGTTTCACTTCTGTCTTTACCGCTTTCATGTAGCTTTAGAAAAAAGAAACATTGTTTCCTTTAGTCAGCGCTGGATGAAGGATTCAGATCTGATGTGTGAAGTATGAATAATGTCATTACTGTGACTGCAGCTCACCAACTGATCTTATGAACTCGTGTTTTTAAATCATCATCCAGCTGTAGAGCAGCAGAGTATGCAGCAGCTCAAACTGAAAGTACTCCAGTACTGCAGTGCTGGGAGTAAATGTGCGTATTACAGGACCTGAGGTTACTGCAGAGTGTACAGCTGAACATCAGCGGAGTGAAAACCACAAGAAGAGCAACAACACGACGAAGACAAACACAACAACATCCTGCAGCCGTGCCGACTCAGCGATGATCTGACAGGAAAACCTCAGCGTAAACATCGATGTGAGTGCTTCATTACTCTCATCTGACCCCGAAACCCACCGCCGCTGCATTAAAGGGACAAATCACAGCCGGCAGAGGACCTACACTCCACAACATTTACTCCACTGCATTAAAGAATAACTGAGAATGTCTGCCTGAGTCATGAACCGATCTGAGAGAAGGGCCCAGAACAGACGACTGCAGATGGAAGTGACAAGCTTTGGTTGACTATAGAGGTCCCTATAGTTTCTGATCATGGAGAAAAGAGACCTGCGAAGGACTCTGAAGCAGTCTGAAATTAAAAACACAGATTTTTTTTTACTTCTAAAGAGAATAAAAAAATCTTTTTTTAAGGATCCAGGGGTTTTATATTAGGGGGGCTAACACAACAGAAGAATTAGCAGCTTCGCAGCAGGTTCTCGTGTTTGTAGAAGCTGACGTTTGTTGTTCAGTTTGATAAAATGGAAAAAGGAACGAGTGACTGGAGTCTATTTTTCAGTGTGATGATGAGGCTCGGGCATCTTTACGTGTTTGCGAACTTTTAATAATTTTGATTCTGTTTCTTAACTCAGATTTTTTATGTTGGTACTACCAACCTCTGTATATTTTATATATTTATTTTATTTTTACTCTATTTAATTTGTAAAATATGTGCACACACACACACATATATACACACGTAGACATACATATTTAGTATACACATTCAGTAATATGTATACACTCTTATATTGTACATATATTTATTCATATAATTCTCAGATTTAGCCATTCTTATATTTGCTTGTTCTTATGTTATTGTACTTTGCACAACTCTGTTGCTTGTGAAGCTCGCACACAAGAATTTCACTCACATGTACTGTACCAGTGTACCTGCACATGTGATGTGACAATAAAAGTGATTTGATTTGACATCTTTATAAACACAGAATTTCCTTCTTTTTTTCTTCTGGATTGGAATGTTGAATGTGTGAACAGGTGTGTGAAGCTCACCTGCCCAAACCTTTGATCCCAGACGAGCCTCGAGTCAGACACTGCAGCCGGAGTCTCTCTATGGGGTCTGAACACTCGGACAGCTGGCGCTTGGCATTCATCGCCATCTCTCTGTCGTGTCTCGATGTGCCCGCCATCCTTGACATAACACAGACCAATCAGGTTTCACTCTGACAGCTGATCTATACCTTAACTCAGCCTACAGTGTGCTGTGTGTGTCTGTCTGACCTCAGCCAGATAAAATATGAAATGTTATGTTAAAAAAAATTTTTTAAATGTCACCTCCCGGAGGTGTGACAGATACCTCTTAAATCATATTTAGACAAAGCGTCATTCGTTGAACCGCCATGATCAGCCAACCAGGACGCTCCAGAAAACCACATCCATGGATGTTTTTCTATCCCTGTGATTATCTTCACTGTTGTGTGCAGGACCAGACTTTAGGTTGAGGCCACAACCACACCTGACCCCCTATTAGCGCTGTCTACAGGCTCAGGTGTGTTTGGACATGAGGGCTGTGGTCAGATAGTCTGTTTTGATAACTGTTTCTTCATTTCTTTCTTATTTCTTTGAAGATCATGTCACGGAACATTGAACATTGGGATCGATATTGTGGGGCTCTTTCTTATTAATTCTTATTGATTATTATCCATCCTGTGTTTTGGTTTTAGTTGGTCGTTTAGAGTTTTTAGTTTATTACATTTAAGTTTTTCTGTATTTTACTTTTTTCCTGTGTTTCTCTCTGAGCTGTTGGATCAGTCTGAACTGAGAACCTGCGAGCAGCACGACGGGTTAAAAACTCTTCAGTCTGGATTTTTGTTGAGTCTGCATTATAAAGCATTATTTCTTTTGTTTTATTTACTGTGATTTATCTTTACTGTAGAAGAGTGACATGGTTACATTAATTATGATATTTAAAAAATAAATATCAATATTATCAATAATGCACAAATATTAAATATTTAAATAATGCAAACAATTTTGTAATCTTCCTTTTTACACGTTCACCGACTCTGTGAACTTATTTTGCTATTTTACCAAAACATCAAAGAAATTAAAACAAACTGTGGAAGCCCTCTGTATTATTTTATTGTTTTGGCTTTTAAATGAAGTTTCATTCAGCCCTACTTTCATTTATTAACTGATTAGATTTCATGTAAATACATTTAAATCTATTTCATTTTTCTGTTCTAATTTATCTGCTTTATTCAGCATTTGTTTTGTTTTATTCGTTTTTGTTGCCTTGGATCCTTTTGTTCTTATATGTTAATGTTATATTCAAGTTACTTGTACTGTTTTATTATTTCTTTTGTTTTTTCATATTACATTGTCTTACTGTCAGTCATCTGAAGACTAAATTTGCTCACCTGTATGAGAGATGTTAAAAAAGAGAGGCTCACTGAGTTTGTGTCTAAACTGATCCAGATATTTATAACAGCTTGAAGTCTTAAAAAAAACCTGATCCACAGCCCGCACATCTTCTTACTCTGTAATGTTGCTGTCAGTTTCTTGATATTTATTTATAATTTGTCAACCCTGAATGTTTCACTTGGTGACTTGTATAAATTGCGCTTTTCCTCATATCTTAACATATTGTATTGATAAATAGTCTAGTTTGTTTTTGTCAATGCTACTGTACTGGAGCAACTGTAACCCACATAATTTCCCTAGGTATTAATAAAATATTCTGATTCTAAAAGACAAACAGCTCCACCTGCTGGAGGCTGGAAGCACCTGCAGGCTGAACATTAAAAATTAAAGAAGGAAAAGTTTTAATTTCATTCCAAGAAAGAAGTTAAAAAGGAGAGAGCAGGCCCAATATCAGCAGCAGTTTGTAATGAAGCAAAAATATTTATTTATTTACGAAATTATGGTTAAAATAAAAACTGAAGTACAAGTATTTCAGATTTGAAGTACATTATGCAGTACCACATGGAATATTTCTATTTTATTCTACAAATAAAGTTTGTACAGTGAAATATTTCAGATTTCCTTCATCTTTCTGACAACTGCAGCTACCTTCAGCAAAATAACCACATGCGTTAAACAAACGCAGACAGCAGGATCGTTTTCCTGCTGGTCACACTAAATCATTTGAATGTTAAATGAAGCTTCAGCCTCCGTCACCTTACTGCTTTGCCTCCACTAGATGACCTCATTATATTATATATATCTGCGTGTGTGTGGAGTGTATGGTAACATAAATGTGTGTATTTATTGTGTCGTCTATGTGTAAACTGTGTGGGCCTGTGAAAACAGTAGGTGCTCTTCATATACAGACATACAAATCAACAACAGCCGATGCTCCAGCTGTTAGTTTGAGGCTCTTACTGTTGTGTCTGCTCCCTGCTTTTATTTTTAAATCTCCACACTTCCTGCTGATTCTTGTTCATCCTCAAAGGTTCTGATTTCCAAAAGCGAGAAAATGGAAGCGTAATGGAGGATCTGAAGGTGTGTTACCTGTCCTGCTGTGTGTCCGCTGTCTGTAGCTTAGTGAGGCTGAAGAGGTAAACACAAAGCCCAAGAGGAGGAGGATCAGTGTAAGCACAGAGAGGAGTCCGACTGAGGAGTTTTAACACTTTAACCTTTAGATTCTTGCTTTCTCCCAGTCTGCCCCTCCCCAAACGATACTCCGTTACCATGGAGACTTGCTGACCCATTCTGCGTTGTGATTGGCTCTCCCATGCTCAGTGGGAGGAGTTCCGGTGTTTCTCAGTGAGTAACCGGAGGTATATGTTTAGTTCAACAGAGACTAAATTTATGGCGTTAATATCCGGTAAACTGAAGAGCCCGTGATAGTATTTTTTTTAATTAGGTCTTTTCCTTCTTCCACAAACATATTAATAAAAAAGATGTAGAAATATATATTAGAATATATATTTTAAAATATACAGTACTGTGCAAAGGTTTTAGGCAGGTGTGAAAAAAATGCTGTAAACAAAGAATGCTTTCAGAAATATAAATGATTGTCTATTGGCCCCAAATTAATTCTGCAGCAGAGCAATGACCCCAAAAATACAACCAAATGCATTAAGAACTATCTTCATCACAAAGAAGAACAAGAAATGCTGCCCCCCACAGAGTCCTGATCTCAACATCATCAAGTGTGTCTGGGATTACATGCAGACACAGAAGGATGGGAGGAAGCCTACATCCGCAGAAGATCTGTGGTTAGTTATATGTTTGTGTGATCCACACAAATATGTGGTCACAATTTTGAGTTAAGTGGCGTGATTTATGGAGATTATTATACATGTTTATGTTGCTGGTTTATTGGTGTAATTTAAATCTGCAACGTCATGTAAGTTCTCTGTTGCCAGGAGAGTGTATAACACTTTGGACAGTAGGGGGCAGCAGCGTGCTTTGTGAACTGAATCGGGTGCATAGCTGCCATTCTGGCAAGACTGACCAGGCAAACGGCAGCGTGTCTCCTATGTTCACATTCTCTCCTGTGTTACAGGTAAGTATTGTGGTTAAAAACATAAACAAATACACAACTGGACACTGTTTAGTGATTGTAAATTTGATTTTTTTTTTTACTAAATAGAGTTTTAATGAGTCACTCACCAAAGTGAATCGGTTTTTTTGAGCCATTTGAGCCACTGAGTCAGTTGACCAGAGAGTGCAAAAAATTTATATTTTCACTCAAACTTAAATTGTTTCTCTTTTCATATATATCCTACTGCTAAGATGAGTGATTCTAAAAGAAAACAACTATTTTATAGAGCAAAAAAGAGCAAAAAATTTTTCTAAAGGGAACATTTATTTTGTTTATTTTATTTTATTATTATTTTCCTTAAACGTGTCAAATATATATTTTCTCATCTAAATGTCCACTGAGCTGTAAGCCAGGGGGCGGTAATGCACCTTAACATTGGTTGGACAACCAAGAAAAAGAAGAAGTTATGAGCCAGGAGGGCCCAAGACGGAGGGGTGAGTGAGGGATTTGTTTGCGCTATGATTCAGCACAGGAAGGGAGGGGGTGAGTGAGTCCTGAGTGATTCGTTCGGACTATGATTCAGCACAGTAGTGATGGGATTTCCGGCTGTTTTTAGCTCCCAACCAGCTCTTCAGGTTGTTTTGTTGCTTTAATTAATTTATTATTAACAACAATATAAAATTATGCAAAAAAGGAATTACTAATGTAAAAACAGTACTTTTATTTACATATGTTTATATATGGTAAATGGTAAATGGCCTGCATTTGTATAGCGCTTTTCTAGTCCCTAAGGACCCCAAAGCGCTTTACACTACATTCAGTCATTCACACACTGGTGATGGCAAGCTACATTGTAGCCACAGCCAGCCAGCCACAGTGGTGAAGAGGGAGCTGAGTGTAAAAGCGAAGCTCTCAATTTACTAGGGCTGAACGATTATGGAAAATAATCTAATTGCGATTTTTTGCCCCAATATTGCGATTGCGATGCGATATGCGATTATTTTTTAAGGTCTTTGTCTTCTGTATTATTAAACAAAGACAAGCAATACATCATATAGTATGGCCAATACTATATTACATTAATTTTAAACTGT